CATTTTGTGTGGACAGAAAATACTTGGTTCTGGAACCTTCTTGTTTTGATTTGAGCTTATGCATATTAGAGAGTGAATATTTGTAGCCTCAATGGCCTTTCTTCTCTCTGAAATGATTTTTTTCTTTTTTTCAGAGCACCAGTTTTGTGGCGGGAAGGTCACAAAGTCTCAGGGCACAATCAAAACTCCCAATTGGCCGGAGAATAATTATCCAGCGGGCATCAGTTGTTCTTGGCTTATAACAGTGGAGCCGGAAATGGTCAGGAAAAAACATAACCCTGCAGTACAGATCGTTTTCAGTTAATATTTCAACGCTGAATAGGTGGTGGCACGCCAGATGCTTTTTGCAGCCTGTTCATTAAATGATAAGAAACAAGCCTGTCGGGAAACATGGCTTTTCTTTGCTTGAATCTGGGATATTTTCCCATATATTATGTTATGTTACTTTATGTTACATCATTTTTTTTATGTTAAACTTTGTGTTGAACCCCCCCCCACACACACACACCTTTTTTAGAAAAAAGAAAATGATAAATAAAATAAATTAATAATTTAAATGTGGGATTTTGTGTTTTAGGTGATTGAGGTGAAGTTTGATAAGTTTGATTTGGAGTCTGACACATACTGCCGCTTCGACTATGTGGCATTCTTTAACGGAGGAGAGAAAGACGATTCAAGGCGCATCGGAAAATACTGTGGAGACACTGCGCCTCAGTCAGTTAACTTATCATATTCATCTCTTTGACTGCCATTTTATTATGAATATCGTATGTTTGAAGCTAAACCAAAATGTTTTACAGTTGCATTCGTCCCTGTTTTTTATGTCCCATCTGCAGGAACATTATTACCAATAGCAATGTGCTGTTAGTGCAGTTTGTATCTGACCTCAGCGTGACCTCAGACGGATTCATGGCGTCATACACTAGCATCCCACGTGGCCTCCGTACTCCGACTGCAGATGGAGGTGGCGATGTTGCGTCAGGACCTAGAGTGTCATCCACAGCCACAAGAGTCCGTCTCACCCCAATCAAACCTGTGGCCTTTACAACAGAAGCAACAACTACAACCACAACTACGACCACTACTGAACAGCCAACGCCACGACCCAAACCCGTTAGACCCATTAAACCTGTGAGACGTCCAGTCAGTAAACCAGAGCCAGATGAATCCAGACCAGGTGAGGAAGAGATAAGAGTAACAAATGATGCTGGTTATGGTTGATTATAACTTGTTATAACATTGTTTAATGTATTTTTTCAGCCACAGGCATGGATCCAATGTGTGCAAAGGCATGTAAAAGAGACGGAACCATCAAGACTAGTTTATGTGCTAGTGAATTTGGTAAGTCATTACCTACACTGAAAATTTGGTGTAGAAATGGTTTTTACTCAAAAATCGCAAGTAAATGATATAGTTAATGACAAAGAAACAACAAGTAACGCATTAAATTACAGAATACATTTCTGATTAGAAAGACTTAAATAGTATTTTCTTGTTTTGCTAACAGCTATTAACTACTCTGAAAAACTTTTCTGCTGCTCATAAAATGTACTACTATTATTAATGCTAAAAACAGCTGTACTGTGTAATATTTTTGCAGAAACCTTGATTCATTTTATCAGGATTGTAGAAAGTTTAGAACAGAATTTATTTGAAACACAAATTTGTACTTACTGCCACATTTGATCAACCTAATGCATCTTTGCTCAATAAAAATAATAATTTCTTTTAAAAATATATCTTACTGACCCCAGATTTCTGAATAGTAGTGTAGGTTTTAAAGGGATAGTACACCCCAAAAAAAAAAAAAAAAAATCTGCCATTACTTACTCTCTTCCTTTTTCACACTCTATTCCTTTTGATCAATATAATATAATATAATATAATGAGGGTTCGTAAATAACAACAGGATTTCATTTTTTTTAGGGGTGAACTATAAGAGCGATTCTTTATTTCAGTTTATTTTAATGTCTTTCTCTCTTACTTTCAGTTATCACCGGTAAGCTGACAGCATTGACTCCTGGACCTAGTGGAAGTATGCAGGCCACAGTGTCTTTAATCAAGACCTATAAGACTGGTAGTCTTACAATCACCCAAGCTGGAGAAACCACGTCTGTCAAACTTGTGATGCCCTGCAAGAAATGTCCATTGCTGCGCAGAGGTATATGGCTACATATGCACATAAATACACACCTGTGTCTGATTCCTTGGACTTTATTCAGCATTAATTTCTTACATATCAGCCAATTATTGATTTATTGTCTCTTCATTAGGTCAAAACTATATCCTGATGGGTCTCGTGGATGAGGAAGGCCGTGGTGTTCTCACTCCTGGTAGTTTCACTGCCCTGTACAAAGCCCCACACCACAAGATACTGACCAACATCAACAACCAGCCATGCTGATCTGATCACTCAGATCCATGTTAGCACGATCAACCTTCAGAGCACAGACACTAGATGAAAGCAATGGACAGTGATTAGACCACGGCCCAGAACTTGTCTGGATATTAAGAGGTATTTTTTGGCATTGTAATATAATGCTCAGGAAGTTAAACACACAGTTTCCAATTAGCTATGGTGCATTTCAGACTTGTCAACTCAGAACTGAATTTTATAGTTGTAAAGTAAAGATATTTTTCATACGAGTCTTCATATACACACAGAGATGTCACAAAATAAATTTGTTCTAACTCAGGATTTGTATAATACATTATTGCATTGAACATTAGTCTGTGCTGTTTTATTGGGATAGGCCTTTTCCGTTCATTGAAAGCTGGTTTTGGTCCAGAATACACTATCGACACCAACTTAAAACACGAGCGCATACTAAACTGATGATGTGGTAATAATAACACTTCTTTATTTCTTTTCCTCCTCCCTTCTGTCTTTCTGTGTACAGAATAGCTTAATACCATTGCTTCATTGTTGTGATTGTTAACTAAAACTATTAAAAATCATTTCTGGATTTGAAATAAATCTGAATTGAAATGAATGATATAAATGATGGTGAAATGAAATTCTATAAATATTTATAATATTAAATAATTATTAAATGTATAGATAAATAACTGAATAAATAAATATTAAATTTATGAATACTACATTTGAGGTTAATATTACAAAATAAAATAAATACTAACTGAAATAAATAGATTTAAGTACTAAAATCGCTAAAACTTAATTAAATAAAAATAATGAAGCCAAAAATAAAATGAAAACTGAAAATGCAAAAATAAAAGCTAATTTAAAATATTAATAAATACTATTAGAATAACACTTATGTGCTTACTGTGAGGAATACTGTTCCACAAATGAAATACAATCAGCTATGCTTATTATTTGTATAAAAAAAATAAACAAATAAATAAATTAAAAAAAATATATATATTTTTTTCCATTTCTGAGATACTTCAATTCCCTCCAAATATTTAACATGCGGCAACAATTTAGCATACTGAGGTTTAAAACTCATATTACTTGCTGTTTATTTTTACAGATTTCTATGCCTTAATATAGTGCTGAGCGGAAATCAGTTTACAAGTATTCTATAGCCTTTCTGTTTCTCTCTGAAACTAAATTTGTGGGTTTATAGTGTCATCTAGTGGCTGACATTTTTACAGAGACTCAGGACTCAAAACAATGCAATTTATTACAGCAGCTCTCCATTAAAATATTTCTGTGACATGTCAGCTTCATACATGCATCCTGTAAACCTCCACTCATAAGAAATAAGCTCTTATAGACCTATATCATCACAACATTAGATGCTTTAGAGACATCCATCAACGTCACTTAGGCCTACTTATAGAGGATAATGACTTGCAAAGGCACAATGAAGCTAATTCTCATCCTGTGTCTGGTAACCAGGGAATTTATATCCTGTCTGTCCTCTCTTTGTCCTCTCTGACGACAATGGATCACGCTGCCATCTCTTATCTGAAGTCAGGGTAATGGGTTTGTGTTTACACTGTGAAATGAAATTGCACTATGTTGGATGACAGTAATTCTGCCCAGCCAGACAAGTTTAATATTCATCCCAAGATTATGAATGGAATATTTTAGAGTGGTGAAGTGGCAAAACATCCACAGCACCTGTAGTTAAGAGTCCATACATTGCAATTTATGTTATAAAGGATGAGACCAGCTGTGAATCGTGTTGTCAAGTTCATATTGCATTTTCATGATTAGTAGGGTGCAATATTACAGAACAAACAATTGATTAAAAATAAACAGAATTATATTATTGTTATTTTTATCATTTTGTATTTATTCATTTTTTTTAATAGATTATAATCTGATGTTGTCTTGTGAGAGGTATTTTATTTGAACAGACAAATTAAACATCAATTGTTAAACAAATAATGTAGTCTTAAAAGTTTAAATACTCACCAGTCAGTATTTTATGGCTGGAAAATGAAACTGTAAAGAACATGTCTGGGCCATATTTTAAACATTAATAATAATAAACTTAAACTTAATAATTTTTAAACTAATATTACATTTATCGTGGGTAGAAAAGGAGATGTTATACAAAGTAAACATTAATTTAATAATTTTTTAGTACAATATAAAAACAGATTCTTTTGTTTGGTAACATTTTCTTGTAATATCAAACTCGCTATGTTTCCTAACACATTATAGATGGGCAATTATACATCAAAATAGCTGCAATTTTATCTTGCATTAATTAGTATTAGAGTTTTATGGCTGATTTATCACTTTACATATTAATTTATGTAGCAAAACACCCTCAAACTGAAAATTAAATAGTTGGGAAGTCTGTCCATAACATGTCCAGATCATATTTTACCCCCAGTACAAAATAAGAATTTATCATTTGCACAAAGAAAATGAAGCCTTTTTGTACAATAAGGGAATTGTTTTTTTAAGACAATTAAGCACATTTCATATTTAAGTGAGACAAAGATTAACAATATAAATATGTTTAAACAATTTTTTTCAATACTTAAACTTCTTTGACATAACCAGAGAATAAGAAACAATTACTAAATGCACATACATTTTATATTATAATTCCATTGATTAGTACAACATTTTATCTTTTGCCTGAAATGCATTCATGAACCTCTGAAAAAATGGTTTGTCCTCTGAAAAGCAATAGGCAAACATACATTGCATGACAAAACACATATTAAATTTGTATTTATAAAATCCAGCTCAGTTCCTGTTTTTCCATTCCATGTGGCCTACATCACTCTGTCTGCCTTGAAACATTATATTATATTTCAACACAGTAAGTACAAGACAGGTGAATGCCAGGTATGGGGAGAGGATGGAGGAACCAGAGGACACACTGTGACATCTTTACTAAATACAAAAGATTTAGTTTAATTACACAGGACGGAACAGTCTAGTAGGCTGCTACGATGCTCCTCTACACTGGACGTCTACAGCCAGGTACAAGGCAAGGGATTCTGGGAAAGAAGCCCAGCGGTCAGCAGGTGGCGTCGATAATATTGCCATCCATCTGGTGGCGATAAACTACTCGCGCCTTATGGGAAAAATAAACGGGACGTGCGGCGCTTTCCTCTCCGTCGTAACCCCAGGAGACTGTCGGAGAGAAGCCAGGTTGCACCTCAACAGATGGCACTGTGAACGCAAAAAGAGAGAGGAAATGAATATCCAGTGTCGAGTATTGAAAGACGGTTTGATTTATAACTTCATTAGCAACATATCAGGACAAGATTTGGTAAACAAGGTGACTTACCAGGCGGAGGAGGGCACAGCCTGCTTTTACCCCGGTCTTTACAGCGTTTGTACCAAGGAAAACACTGCAAGACTTTCTTACCCATGGTTTACCCACTCTAGAGGTCTGGAGAGAGAACATAAAGTGTAAGATCTACTGACTGATGAACATGGACTTTCAGTGCCATTGTGTTTGTTTCTTCAAGCTTATCTCACTTCTCCGACCGGAACGTTAGCTGAGAGGTGAAAGCGGGAGATTGCTAATAATGGCTCAAAGAAACAAAGAGCTCATTCATCCTGAGAGGATTAATCCTCAGTCGTGTCTGAGGCTTGTAACGGTGCTATATCACTTGAGCGGGGCGCATAGTTGTGTTCCCTGACCCACTTGGGACAACCGGCCGAGAACAACCAGCTCTGACTCCACAAGCAGTCACAAAGTCAGACTCAGTGTATATAAATCTTAACTACAGGAAGGGAACCGCTATATAGCAACAGAACACATCTGTTAAGTAAATATTGAGCAGCACCACCCGTGTATTTAGCAGAATGGGACAATGATTTATTTTGTCACATATAAATCGTTAAAATGCTCTGATGTGACAAATGTATTTACAAAGAAATAACGTTAGTAAAATAAAATGTGCTACAAATGTATTTCCAGTTTTGCCAAATTTAGCAACCAGAGATAGATTTTTTTTTAAATAAGTAAATTAATATTAATACAAATGTATTAAATTAAAAAAAATGAACAAATCAATGTTCTTTATACTATTGAAAATGTTACATATTAGTTATAGTTGTATGTATTTATTTATGTAGCAGACACTGTTATAAGCAAACAAATAAAGAATACTCTTGGAAAATTGTTAAAAATGTAGAATAAGATTTAAAAAAAATATTTAATATATTGAAATAGCACATTCTTTAAATGTTTGTTCACACAACATCAACATATTTGATCTGGATAACTGCAGAGGTAATATATTGAATAAATAAATAAATAATATTGTTTTTATAATAATAATAATAATAAAAATATATAATATTTTTATTATTATTTGTACCCAGGGGGGTACAAAATGCAGGCTGTGGAACATTTGAATAAATTGATGTAAATAAATAAATATTTTATATATGTATCCATTACATTTATAATATAATTTATTTAAATTTAATATATAATTTAGAATTTACAAAGTGTGTGCTTTAGTACTGGCAATATAAAATCCTTTTTTTTCCTTTTTTTTTTGTTGTATTTGGTAACTTGAGTTGTAATATCAAACTTGCGATTTTTCTGATGATACCCTATACGATAATATTTTGGGCTCCTTTACATCAACAGTTAGAAACTAGCCAAGACCCTCTTCTCTCCAGTGCTCACTGATCCTTTGATTGAGCACCATACCTACAGCCTATAGATGCAAGAAAAAAGATCTGTAGTTCTATGAAAAGTATCTTACATAAAACTCAACCGAAGGGAGGTTAATCCTTCATTTAAGACAATCAAACCAGAGCGATTTGGCGCGCGCTGCACACGAACACATCACAGATCAAATGAGTTCAAAGCCAGATAACCAAGAGCCCAGCATCAACATACTGATATAATCATATTGTTTATAGCCTACAACTTAGTAAAATGTTATTTTAATTAATAAACTCTTGAAATGCAGAGGAGATATGCAGTAATATATAACTTATATTTCAGGATAGCATAATAACTTTAGCAATAACATTGCAGGATAAATAAAAATATGCACGTTGGAGTAGCAATAATATAGTTGGGCATAGAAGAGTGAGTAGTAGCTATTATTATGTCAAGCACACTAAACATTTATGCATGATGCATACATATTAAAAAGTTGTACACATAATCTTTGCCTACGTCACACACTCCCGTTTTAAACACTTCAATAACCAACTTTTGACAAACGTACCTGTAGAGGAACGAAGAGGCGCCGTGTGTCTTATCCAGTGATCTGTTGGATGTGCTGCGTTTGAAACTCTGGCTCCATGCGATTGCGCCCGTGCTGGTCCCTATAGAGATCGTGGTATGCCAGTGATCAGGTCGCATTCCCGGAGGATACTGATGCTGTACTGACTCTATCTGCCCTTCTGTTCCTTTACCTCCCTTGCATATTAAAGCTTTGATTGAGCGTGCGCGGAACGCCATGGGAAATTTCCACCGGCCCAGGCTTTAAATAACTAATCCTGCGAGCCACAACAAAAGCTCCTGACCTCAGAAGTGGCTGAGTACATTTTCCCTTTTTTTCGGTATTTGTCTTAGCAGACCTTCTTAATAAATTGCACTCAAAGAACAAATAAACCAATGGCAATTAAAGCTGCTATAAGGGAGTTTTTGCCTGTAGTGCCTGACTGAAATAGATGTCTGAGAAATCAAACTGTATATTATTATAATAGTCAGGGCTGCCAGGTCCATACCAAAGCTAACTCAAAACCCACCCAAAAGGAATGAAAACTATAGCCCATATTTTTGCCCTGTCCAGCAGCTGACAGCTGCTTTATTCCATAAACTCCCTTTAAAATAAACCTTTTGATTCTATTTATTCTCTGTTTTGAATCTTAGCCAGACTTGATTATATGCAGTAGCCTATGTGCATATTAAATTATTTAATCTGTATTTTATTTGTTTCTTTTACCCTTTTCAGCACTTTTCATGATAAACTTTTAAATTAGGGCTGGGTGATATGGCCAGAAATATTAAGACTTTTTTTCCATATCATATTTATCAAAATATTAATTTACCATTATTATGGAAGGAAATTCTTTGAGAATGCATGTAAACAATTTTTTTTCATAAATCCTTTCAAGCCAACTTTTAATATAGGGCCCCATGAAATTCACTTGATTTTCCTCTAAATTCCGTGTTTTCCATTTTATTTATTTAGTGTTTTATGATTTCATACAAATTTATGATTAAAAATACCTGTCTAATGAAATTGGTAAATAAAACTTTAACATTTTAATCAATCTTTTAATATAATATAATATAATATAATACAATAACTATTAATTTACAACAAAAACATTGCATTTTTATTTTTGTCAAATATGATGATGCAGCACGACAAAACTGTAGCCTATGTTTGATATTAAAACATGGATGAAAAATAATTTGGGTTGAATGATATTTCTTAAAAATAATAGTAATACTATTATTTTGAGAAGTACATTTGACTATTTCATAGTAATATATTTCTGTTAAAATGTTTGTTTTGTAAAAGCCTTAACATCTTTGCTGTGGGTGAAACTCGCGTAATAATTGATGGCCCCCACTGACTTACATAATATTTTTTTTCCCTATTACTTTATGTTAGACAAAGGGGATTGTTGAAAAAGTTGAACGTTTGATTACCAGCATTCTTCAAAATATCTTCTTTCATGTTCGACATAAGAAAGAAACTCATACAGGTTTGGAACGACATGAGAGTAAGTAAATAATGACAGCATTTTCATTTTGGGATCAACTATTCCTTTAAAGGGTTAGTTCACCCCAAAAATGAAAAGTCTGTCATTAATTACTCACTCTCATGTTGTTCCAAACCTTAAAGACATTCGTTCATCTTAAGAACACAAATTTTTGATGAAATACAAGAACTTTCTGACCCTAACGCACCTACCACATTCAAGACCCAGAAAGGCAGTAAGGACAACGTTAAAATAGTTCATGTGACATCAGTGGTTCAACCTTAATTTTATGAAGTTACGAGAATAGATTTCTTCTGTGGATTAGTTTGGATCCACAGAAATCATTTACAACAGTTGCACTAAAAATTACTAAATAGCTTGCTACACATTGACCATTTTTAAAATTTCATACATTTATGGCGGGAATGTTTGATTTATTTTATTAGTAAGAGGCGTTTTTACAGTAATAAGAACATTTTTACAAATAGTTTCTTATGATAAATGTACAAAAATCACTAAAATACTAAAAATGCAAACACATTTTACAAAGGAACAACATTACAATAGGTATTTCATTTTTTTAAATAGTTCCACCCTTTTTCACCATCTTACAGACCTTAGGTTAGACACCATATTTAATTTATCGTGTATGAAAACGAGGCTGTGAGGGATAGACTTACCGTCTTTACAATGGCACGCACTGTATAAAGATGCTAATAAAGGTTCCAAAAGGGGGTTTTCACAGTGATGCCCAGTTTTGGTTGCCCAAAGAACCTTTAAGTGAACAGTTCTTAAAAAAAACATTTTCTCTTAGCGTGAAGAACATTTTAATAGTCTAAAGAACCCTGTTCCACGGCAAAGAACCTTTTGTGGAATGAAAAGGTTCCATGGATGGTAAAGGTTCTTTGTGGAACCACTGATGCGTGTAGTTCATGTAATTTTCAGAACTTTCAAAACCGCTTTGTCTTCCAAAAAAAGAAAGATGTTGTGTCAGCTGAACAATGTTGTTAAACAACAGTAAAACCAATAGAACGCACTGTACTTCTATCCCTCGTAGCCTTGTTTTCATTCCAGACAAAAATGAAATATGGTGCTACCCCGACTAAGGTCTATAGGTTGATCCAGTTAAAAAGGACTGAAAAAACATCACTGCAAAAGCATGGATAAAAAAAAAAATCTGATGTTGAATAAATGCACAATTTATAAAACTGCTGAGAACATGGCACTGCTTGTATTGACATATCGGCACTATTTGGTTCTTTTGTATGTGACCTATTGCTATGGCTATTCACATAAAGTTCACCATGCTCTTTTTTTAGGCTGCTCAAACCCACACGCTACCCTTTCCCTCACTCTCTCCTGCCCCCTGCTGGCCACAGCAGCCCCCCAGGCCTCGATGGCGTGATGCAGGCAGGTTCTTGTAGACGGCACGGCTGTAGGGGATGAAGCACAGGCCCAGCTGGAGATGGCGTGCCATCCTGCAGTAAGCGGCCAGAGCCAGAACCAGGAGCGGAGCCAGCAGCAGGAACCCAACCACCAATAAAGCCACACAGCCTCCATCATCCAAGAGATCTGAACAGTAGACGGAAGTACCATGGCGCTGAACCTTTGGAACAGACGGGGAGGAGTGCAAGAAAAGGAGTTAGTTAGGAAGATTTCACAAGAGAGGGAGGGAGGGGACTGAAAGTACTGTAAAAATGGTCTGATATATATTGTCAGTTCAGATAAGAGCATGATTACATTGACCAGAGATAAGAAAATTAAAACATCCACATATGGTGAAGCAGTGGGAGTTGACTGAGGCAGCTCAGTTGGAGACAGCTAACTGATCACTGATGCAGGGAAATGATAAAGAGAGGATCATGTGACAGAGTTGATTTCTTCTTCTCCCCCAGGTGATTTTTGTTAGTTGAACTGCATTTTGGGAAGTTTATCTGAGCTGTTTTAATTTCTTTTGGAGGGAGAGAGATGAAACTTGGGGTGGAATCACAGTATGTGAGGAGAAGTACAGAAAAAAGATTAAAATATAATAACACAGGTATCATAAATATACACTGACTCTCAAAAGTTTGGGGTCAGTAAGGTTTAACGACATTGACACTTCAAGGACTCATTAAATTGACAATAAATACCTTTATAATGTTACAAAATATTTATATTAAAACAAATGCTGTTCATATGAACTTTCTATTCATCAAACAATCCTGAAAAATGTATCACGGTTTCCACAAAAATATTAACCACCAAATCAGCATATTAGAATGATTTCTGAAGGATCACATGACACTGCAGACTGGAGTAGGCCTAATGACTGCTGAAAATTCAGCATTTCCATCACAAGAATAAATTATTTTAAAAAATATATTAGAAATAGAAAATTGTTCTTTTAAATGGTAATAAAATGTAACAATATTACTGTTTTTCAGGTATTTTTTATAATAATCGGAATCGACATTAAAAAGTGTTAGATTGGATATTAACTTTAAGACAACATTACTTATTTGTTACGTAACTGAGACCGAACTTACCGTTGAATGGCAGAGGAAGCCAAAAGCGACCATGACGAGCGAAGGCAAGAGAATGAGGCCGAAGATAAACGCAGCCAGACCCACATTGAGCGCGGCGATGATCAGATTCTGTGCTGTTACCAGAACAGAACAGGCCCAACAGTCCAGAGAGCCCCTCAGCTCCAGAGGAGACTCGTTCAGCGCACTGCCTGCTATCGAGTACGGAGGAGGAACCACAACACATGAGCTGGACACGTTTGCTGGAGTACTGGAGGAGATGGAGCCGGTGTGATGGAGGCGCGGGTGAGGGGAATCGAGCTCCCCTCGGTCCGTGGCGGTCTGCAGGGACACGGGTTTCTCCAAGGTACCGTTACGGGAAAGACTCATCTTGCCGTTCATCAGTCTTTCAAGTATGAAAGTATAGTTTTTGGCTGGCACAAAAAAAGGAATAAATGAATGAATTGGCTACTGTAAATTGGCCACAAACAGTGATAAATAGCCTTTTAAGTCATGCTAACAGCAATAAAATGACTAGCCTATTAAAGGAATATTCCAGGTTCAAAAGAAGTTAAAGGGATAGTTCACCCAAAAATGAAAATTCTGTCATTATTTACTCACCCTCATATCGTTCCAAAACTTAGACCATCGTTCATCTTCAGAACACAAATTAAGATATCTTGGAGCTGAGAGCTCTCCGACTCTGCATAGACAGCAACGCAACTGAAATGTTCCCAGACCCAGAAACGCAATAAGGACATGTAAGTAAGGACATAGGCCTATCCCAAAATGTAATCAACGTAATCAGCGTTGTTTACATTCAGGGGAAAGTGCGCACATGCGTCGTGGTACTCTCCAAAATGGCAGAAGATGGTAATTCGAGGTGAAGGATTGCTGAATAAAGAATAAATTGTTCTTTGCACACAAAAAGTATTCTCATAGCTTGGCAGAACTGAAGTTGAGCCACTGATGTCACATGGACAGTTTTACCGATGTCCTTACTACATTTCTGGGTCTGGGAACATTTCAGTGGCGTTACTGTCTATGCAGGGTCAGACAGCTCTCACATTTCATCAAAAATATCTTAATTTGTGTTCTGAAGATGAACGAAGCTCTTACGGGTTTGGAATGACATGAGGGTGAGTAATTAATGACAGAATTTTCATTTTTGGGTGAACTATCCCTTTAAGCTCAGTGAACAGTAGCCTAGCTGTTTGTGACATAATGTTGATTACCACAAAGAAGTTGTTTAAAGAAAAGCAAAAGATTGAGACACTTAAATATAAAAATAAATGTGGCCCAATTTTTTTTAAGATTTAAAAGTGAAGCTTATAATTTTATAAAAACATTTAGGCCTACATCTTGTGGCCATACTAGAAAGAAGCAAAAGACAAAAAGTGTGGACTATATTTCTCTAAAAAGGTCTGGTAAAATGTAGAGAAAGCAAACGGTGATAGTAACACTGAAGATCAGGAAATGAAGCCGCTGACCCCACCCTGATCTCCAGGATGACCAAAAAATACAAAACAATAACTTTGGAATGGCTCATCAGGAAACCCCGAATGCTGACCAGACCACAAATACTATAAAACAGCGGAACCCTAAAAGAGCAACATCCTAAAGAAACAGTCATAAATAGCCTTTAACAGCTTGTTACAGATCCAAATTAACCGTTTAAGCAAGTGAATGTAAGGAAAATATGAATTTTCCTCTGATTTATGCAGGTTAGTCTCTTTGATCAATAATACACATTGAGTAGTATAAGGACAGATGTTACAGCACAGATCATCTACATGTTTTAGATTGTGACTTCAGGACTCGGAGGTCACATGCTTGCTTATTCTTTCTAGGAATAATTCCTCTGCTTACCCTTGTTTATTTGGAGTGGGCCCAATTTTTAGTGAATACAAGTATGATATCACACTTCCATTAATAGTTCCGATGTTATCAAGACCTTGATTTAAAAACCTTTCACACACAATCACCTTTTAAACTCTTATCGGAGCAATTTGTTGTGACCTTGAGGAAGTTTTCAATAGCCTGCATCACTTAAGTGTTTATTAAAGTGACAAGACTCATTTATGTTGTTACACTTATAGAATTATAAGTGGTAAATTATTTTCATATTTTATTTGATTGTTTATTTAGATATATACATATTAATATTATTAATATTAATTTAGATATTTAAAACATAAATATTTTATAATATAGAAATATTTTCTTTTATTTAAGTGTTTATATGTTTTCATTAGTGTGAGTAGTGCAAACATCTGTACATTTGCCAAGATTAAATCACCACCATGACTAATCTTACATTCTGATTCAAGGTCCAGAATATCAGGAAATTCCACAAAATATATAAATATATAAAGGGGGTTTTGACAGGACATAGATAGTCTTCAGGGAATTAAGGTCAGTATATATAGCAGAACAGAGCCCAAACTAAACTAAACTATGAAATAAGTTCAAACAGTGTTTATCACTGGTGTATTGAAAATTAAGAATATATTTCATCTTGGTCTAAGATACCAGGCCTTAATGCTTCATAAAGAAAGACCTTTACAATCTATTCATTCAAAGCCTGAATGATTGAAAGGCCACAGTTTATATGTGCATATTTAAATATTTTTTAAAATTATTTTATTAAATGGATGTTTTAATCTTTTTGCTCTCCAAGACTGCATTTATTTGATCACAAATACAGTATTGTGAAATATTATTACTATTTAAAATAACGGTTTTCTATTTTAATAATTTTAAAAATGTCATTTATTCCTGTGACGCAAAGCTGAATTTTCAGCATCATTACTCCAGTCTTCAGTGTCACATGATCATTCAGAAATCATTCTAATACGATTTTAAAAATCTGCACAAACATAAAAAATTACTGACTTTTTTTTTTTGTGTGGACAGTGTGATATAAAGTAAAACCCTAAAAGGCATTTACATGAAACAGTGTTATTTACATATAAGTTCAAACCCAATCCAAAGTCTAAAATCTTCTATACTTACATTAGAGTAATAAAGTTGGTCGTCCGTTCCCTCAAACACCACCTTTCCTCCTGTAGAAAAATTTCCTTTACTTGTTATATAATTTCCTTTCCCCAATGAATCCTTCACACTGGCTGAGATGATTATTCCAGTCTATAATTTTTACTTTACGTTTTATTCATCTAGTTTTCATGTCCACCTGTAGAATCTCCACTGGCTCTGTGTGAAACTGAACTCTATGGAACGCTCACTCCTCTCTTCCTCCTTTCTTGCTCCGCTCTTTCCTTCCTTTGACGAAGAGGTCCTGCCTTGGTAACTCGGTTATATCTCTCCGCTCCCACTTCTCTTTCTGGCCTCCCGCTGCTCCGGCTGGGGCATTTAGGATTGTGGGGTGTTGGGTAGTGGGGGCGTAGTCTTATCCAGGAGATTTTTTGCCTAATAAGATGGATGACCTGGACTCCCTTTGGAGCTACACACTCCACAAAAGAGTGTTTTGCACATTACTCTGAACAAATTTGGTGTACTTTGAAACAATTTTCACTCAGAAATAGTCTCAAGAAATTTCATTTCTTATGTTGTGGCAGACTTTTTTTTTTTTTGTAAATTTGAGACCATTGAAAAAATCTTTAGAAGCATGTCATACAAAACCGACATTTCATAGTTTAACTATAAAAGGTCCTGAAAGCATACCTAAAGAACAGATTTCTGCATCTTATTAATGCAGTAGTTGGTGTTTTGAGTAAAGGGGCAGCTTGAATGATTGACTTGGGTCACTTTCAAAAGAAAAAACCCTGCCCGTTACATAACCCTGGTTCTTACGTCACAAGCTCTGTATTTTCATCACAGTCTTAGAAAACCAGACCCTCTGGTCTAAAATCAGACATCTCAAGCACAATAGAAGAACTCGGATGTCCTGAGGAAAATATATAACATGATTAAGAGGCATACCAAAAAACTGTGAAATCTGAAAGAGATTGGAGAAACTCCCAGTGGCACAGAAAGAGATCAAGAAGGCTTTCTCGCTTGAGTTACAAAAATATGAAATGCTGTATATAAGAGTTACTAAAGGCTTTATGTCGGTCTGTATCATTAAGGGCCCTCTAAAACATTTGGGTGCAGCTACAGCGGGGGGAGTTGATGCCTGTTTAATATCTCTCAGGATGTGTCAGAGCTGTCAGGGCACGGGGCTGTTGGGATGTTTTTGGAGATTTCAGCAGACGTGATGTAGATTGGCTTTGAATGAGATACTGGAGGTTTTTGCTTCAGGATCCAAAATTAAATGCCGAAATTGTGGCAAAAAAAAAAATGTTGGTAACACTTTAGGGAACAATTCTCACTTTTAACTAGTTGTTTATGCCTATCAATAACATATTGGCTGATTATTAGTGCTTATAAAGCACATATTCTGCATGACCATATTCTACATCTCTAATCCTACCCAATACCTAAACTTAACAACTACCTTACTAACTATTAATAAGCAGAAAATTAGGAGTTTATTGAGGCAAAAATCGTAGTTAATGGTTTGCTAATAGCGAGAATTGGACCTTATAAAATAAAATAAACCAAAATGTTAAAATTAAAAAAAAAAAATCTGCAAATGGTTTATTATATTATATTATATTATAAACTGAATACATGATGTTAAGTCTTTTAGCTTCTTATATTATATCTTATAACTGCCATATGGACATTCCTTTGACACTAATCTATGAATAAATGTAATTTTTCATGGATAATATAATAAAAAAATAAAATAATTTGTCTTGACAGCTCTGACGTCCTGAGAGATATTAAACCGATATAATATAATGTAATATAATATAGCATTTTCTTTCCTTTTGTAGCCTATTTATTTTGCTGTCCAAACTATTTACCATTGTATGGTTACTTGCATGTAATTATTTGCATTTAGCATAATTTTGTTCGCAGCCATCTGTGATTTTATCAGAACTGATAAACATTTTCAGGTCATGACCCACCGGCTGAGAATGACTGTGATAGAGTGAACTGGATAAGATATCGGGTAAACGGGGTGAAAACAGGATGATGACTTTATCTGTGAGCAAATAAACAGTTTACAGCTGTTTATTTATTCACAGCAGTGGCGATATGGAAAGGGAGATAAAAAGGGTGCTGGTGAAATATACAAGTTAAGTGTGGAGGGATGGTGAAAAACGAGGTATATCCTGACAGCCATAAAAGAGGAAAACCTGTCTTCCTGTCCTTGGAGCCAGGATTTCCGCAGTAAAGTCCACAGAGAGCGCTGAGGTGTCATGACCTCTGCAGGCCTCCGTTTCCACTCGCAGACAGACAGGAGACTGCGAATCTGTAACCTTCCTCCAATACACTTCCACACACAATCCAGAAATAACTTACACGTAAACACATGGGAATTTATCAGAATGTTTTATTTTTTATAGTTAGAATTATATCAGGTATAACACACAAAAATCACAAAATGTTTTAGACAAGTCTGGCTCAGTTCCTTAATGTTTTCCTTTACTTTTTTTGTTTTTAATTTTATCTTTTTTCGTTATACAGTAAAACAAAAAAAATGGCAACGAACCTGAAAACAAACTCAGAGAGGTATCGACGGAACGCAAATCTGAAAACTCTCAATAATCTGCAATTCATCAATAATGATACAAATCAGAACAGCTAGGATGACTGGAATCATACACGTGTCACAATATCCTGTGTACCTCATGTAAAGCAAACAAATTTCATGTGTTAAATATACAGTACAAAGACATTCAGTTCATAAAAGTGTACTGACTCTGTTCTAAGCACCAACTTGTGAGATTAAATTCATGTTTTCAAACCTACGGATCATTTATACAGACAGAGAGAGACCCGGGAGGAAGGGGGATCAGCACCATTTTGAATCAGACGTTCCCCCGTAAACCTCACCACATCAGCACAACAGAAAGATTTACAAAATACGCATGTCTCAGAAAAAGAGAAGCATCACGAACGATCAATAAATACAAAAGGAAAAGACAAGTAAACAAATAAAAAACAAAGCCAACAAAGAATAATTCAGTTATGATTCCAAAAATAAGAAACTCAAAGGAGTCGATCAGACTGAGAAATGCACCAAAAGCCATAAGTTTGCAGGAATTTTTTGAGTTGTACGAAAAAGATTCACATAACACACACAAGGTTTTCCAGACAAATGCAATCAAATACGTTTTCGATTAAACCCGTATTTTTTGGAATAACTGTTACATATACTGTACCTCACGTGATATTTTAATGCTCTAAAAAATGTCATTATTTATTTCATCAAATACCGGGAAATCATCTTTTGTCTAAATGCATACCACAAGGCCCAAATGGTCTTAGTCTAGACTGTTAAAAAAGTTTTTTTTTTCTTTCCGAAAAACCTTAAAACCTAACAACTTAAAAAAAATAGCACCCAGTCAAATATGCAAATACCATTTACAAAGGTCAGACTTGTAGTAAATATGACACGACTGAAACAACAGAAAAAACCTAATGCCACTGCAATGGTCATCAGCTCCAAGAGAAATGAATCCCCTGCTGTTATATACATTGTATCAAAGCACCACTTACTCAGATAAACCAGAGACAAACTGGACTGGTGAAATCGTCTACCATTTGCATAAAAAACGTAAACGACATCAGTACCTGAATTAATGCACATGTTCGGCAAGTTGACAATTTTTTTTTAAAAAGGAATCACAGCAGTTATCCATTGTAGATGAGTGACCTGATAGCCAAGTCCAATGATGTAGCACCACTCTAGTCTTTCTGTAATCAGGAGCGTGAGAACTATCAGATGTCTGAGGGGAAGACGACTGTGCTGGAGAGACATTGGCTGATAGTATTGTAAACAATGGCAAATAAACAGCGATTTGATTGGCTGTTCCGTAAGTTGCAGTAGTGGTTTTGGTAAAGAAAAAGAAAAAAACAAGAAGAACGTAAGGTTTGTGCCGCTGCTATGGGCCAGGAGGGTGGAAGATTTGGTTATGGCTGTGTAGTTTCAGACATCAGGTTCACCTACAGCACGGGACTGGAGCCTGGGAAGAGAAAACTCATGCATTACAATTGCTGTGAAAATAATTTCAATTTACATGTTTAAAATGGACATACAGTGTCATAGTGGTCAATGATGATGTTGTTGATGGATTATTTTACTTGGAAGCATTTCACACGAAAAAAAAAATCAATTCTATTTTGCAATTTTGCATTTTATTTTTTATTTATTTTAAACATGTCAAGGTCACAGTTCACAAAGCATGAAAACCAAGCCTATTTAAGAAAAAAATTACATAACATGTCCAGCTCACATTTCATAATATAAATTATACTATGTCTACTGAAAATGAAGCATTTTATAAAAATGAAAAATTAAAATAAAATAAAAATAGTATTATATATTGCCATTTAATTTTAAACATATACAGTTCACATTTCACAAAAATTCTATTTTGCATACTAAAAATGAAGCCTATAGGTCACAGTTCACAAAGCATGAAAATCAAGCCTATTTAAGAAAAAAATGACATAACATGTCCAGCTCACATTTCATAATATAAATTATACTGTCTACTGAAAATGAAGCCTATTTTATAAAAATGAAAAATTAAAATAAAATAAAAATAGTATTATATATTGCCATTTAATTTTAAACATATACAGTTCACATTTCACAAAAATTCTATTTTGCATACTAAAAATGAAGCCTATTTTTTAAATGAAAATTAAAAAAGCTTTACATATTGTTTTTTTTTAAATAAATGTCAAGTTCATATTTTACAAAGATATTACACATTCTATTTTGCGTATTGAAAAGATGCCTATTAAAAAAAATTATGGGAAAAAATAAAATAAAAATATCATTACTTGGGGGTAAACATCAGGGTCACATTTTATGAATACTACTTAGCATAATGAAAATCAAGCCTATATTTTAAAATAAAAATTAAATAAAAAAAAAACACATACACACACACACACAAACACATATATATATATATATATATATATATATATATATATATATACACACACAAAAAAAAAAAAAAATATATATATATATATATATATATATATATATATAAAATTACAGATTTTACTTTAAACATGTCCAGATCACTATTAACAAAAATATCGTAATAATTATTATTTGCATTACAAAATTAAAAACTATTTACAAAAAAATAAAGACAATAAAATAAAATGTAATGAAGTAATGATATTATATATTGTTATTTTATTTAAACATGTCCAGGTCACAATTTAATTAAATGATGCTTATTTTTTTTAAAACAAATAAATCTATCATTGCAATATCATTGCATTTTTTATTTTAATGTTCAGGTCACATTTCACAAAATTATAAATTCAAGGATACCGAAAATAAAGCCTTTTTGTCTTATAAATAAAAATAAAAAGTAAAATCAAATATTATTACATGTTACACTTTCACATTAGTGCGTATGAGTGTTTGTCTTACCAGGGTGAAGTTATCATATGTGTTCATGAGCTCACTGATGCGGTACTGCTCCAGCACCACCACCCCGCTCAGACTGGGGATCTGCTCCCGAGCGCAGTCCTCACAGTGAACCACATACGTCTTCTTACTGCTGTTCTCACTGGTCACAAACAGCAGGTTAAACACCTCCACCTGTTCACACATGCACAGTCACATACATCAACAAGATGCAACATCTCACGACAGAACATTATTTGCCATCAATCTATTGAGTATCCTCACGTCGCACTCGTTGCAGTAGTACGCTGGCTCATCCTTCACCCTGCTCTGATAGGAGATCTTCTTCCCTGCAGACACCAGCTGGTCCCTCAAAATCTGAATGTGTTTGATGGACTGGAGGAGACAATGTCTGAAAGACAAGACAAGAAGGAGCTGGAACTATGAAATCATTTCAAGTAGGTCTCAGTGACACAAATAATGCATCGCCACACTCACTTGATCATCTTGAATGTGTTTGGGTCTGTGATCTTGACTGTGCGGGCGACGTTCCAGGACACGTGAATCATGGGGACGATTGATTTGACTTTCTTGATCTCGTTCCATTCAAAGCGTTCAAGAGCCAGCTGGTATTGATAGGCTGGAAAGACAAAGATGAAGCAAGTGCCAAATATATTTACAGTAAATGTGTGGTGAATGTCTTTGGCGCCCCCTATTGTCACATTGTAGACTCACCATTTAAAGGGCCCACGTTCCAGGCAATGTTGTTGCACCAGCCCACAGCCTGGACCCAGTGCACAGTGCCAGCGTTGATCCACACCAGGTCACCGGGTCTCTGAATGAAGCGGTACACTGGGATGTTTGAACGGTACAGATCCTCCAGAACCGGCCACCACGAGCCTGTCAGATAGTCCACAGTGTGCCTAACACACAGAAGACATAATGCTTTATATTTAATCGCATTTGTCATCATGCTAAGCCATAAAAATAACTGCCATGTGTGATCCAAATCTTACTTTTCGCACAAGTCACTGATGGCTTTCCAGTAGTGTTCATGGACGGCAAACCACTCACAGTCTCCAGGGCCAATATTGATGTTCACTGAACAGAAGTTATTATTTTCCTGATGTCCTAGAGAGAGGAAATCAGATCTTTAATTTTTATTTAATTTATTTTAGTTTTATTTTAAACCTGTTCAAGTCACATTTAACAAAGTCTATGTAATATAATCAAAATAAAGTTTTACTTTGGTTAAAATAAAATAACATCTGATAATATTTTAATTTTATTTCAAACATTGTCACATTTTACAAATTCTACAATTTTGTCTATTTTAATAAATGACGAAAAAAAAGTCATATAATACATTTTGATATTTTATTTAATTTTATTGTTAACATGTCCAGGTAACGTTTTACAAATAATAAATTCTAGTTATCAATGAAAAATGAAGCCTTTTTTGTAAACAAATGCAAGTAAAATAAAGGCAAATAAAAAAATAATCATTCCAATTTTTCCAATTCATGTCCAGGTCACATTTCACAAAAATATTATAATTTCTATTTTGCATACTGAAAATGAAGCATACATGCATACAAAAATAAATAAATAAATTCCTGATGTCCTTAAGAGAGGATGTCAGGCTTAAGGTTTATGACAATTTTTTCTTTTGCTTGTCCAGGTCATATTTTAAAAAATAACAAATGAAATTTTGTATAATGATAATGAAGCCTATTTTTAAAAAATACAATTAAATGAAACATGTTTCTCTATGATAATATTGTGTGTTAAAGTTTTGTTATTCTGACGGAGACCAAACTTCTGAATGGTAATAAAAAAATAAAAATATCCACAAGGTAAACAACTTCATAAATGAATTCAATAATGTCTTTTTTCAAATCTAAGTTAGTGAGGGTTAGAGAAGTCTCAAATGCACGAATACCTCATGTGTGAGTGTGTGTGTGTGTGTGTACACTGACCTGGTGTGCGGCTGCCAGGGACCTTCATATAAAGCTGGACTGTGTTCATGCCCAGTATAGTTTGGCCAACGTGACTCAGCATGTTCGTGCTGGAGGACACACGCATGAACGCAGGCAACTTCAACAGCTCCTGCAGCTGCAGCTTCCACCTGAACACAAGACCCCACAGTCCTTTACTCACACCAATGCAAGTAATAATGACACTCATAAAAGCACAGTGAATGGGGTGTATGTCGAAAGTCACCTGACCAAACCGGAAAACAGGTCTCATCGCTTGTTGGAGAAAGTGTTAACAGCAGTACGAACTGATGGCAATATCTATGGACTTTTAAGGTAATCAGCTAAGCTAGCTAGTTGTTGTTATTGTTGGCGCTTTATTCAATTTTAATATTCGAATGTTAATTTAAAAGAATTAAAAATAAAAAAACTTTCAGATATCAATCTACATACTGATGGACATCGGTTATCATCAACTTTGGTATCTCTTTGTAAGGCATCTTGAGTTAAACAGCTCCACATACTGTACAAAACACTTGAACCGGAAGCAACGAGACCTGCTTTAATACGGAAGTCTGTTGCGCATGACCCCCATAGTCTCCCTGTCCAACATTATTTTATGGATGATTGTCAAATAATGTCGCCGTGATATCAAAGTGAAAATCTCTCACCGTTTTGGGTCTGACAAGTCAATGTTGGTTCCAAATTTAATGATTTTTCCAATGGTTTTCTGCTCCGAGCTGTTAAAAAAAGAAACTTTTCAGAGATACCATTTAAAAAAATAAACAAACAAACAACAAAAAATATATAATTCAATCTGGGCCTGGTAATAGCAATCTACAGTATATGCATTGTTATATGATAGTTTAAAATTTTTTTTAACTTTACCTGGATGTGGTGGTAGTCCCAGTGTTTCCTTGGGAGTTGGATTTTTTCACAGTTTTTTCCTCCGATTTGTCTTCTTCATCCTCATCTTCACTGTCTTTCTCTTCCTAAAAATACAAATAGCTTTCACTTCCTTAAATTTCATTTTGAGTGTGCGCGTGTCACAGTGTACCTAAAACTTCCAGGCGATTGCCTGGACCCTCAGCATCATCAAACTGCAATACCCTTGTCCTGAGAGGGAGGAGAAGGGACATTTCACGTAATAATTTTTCATTTAATTTAATATGATTTTATTGGGTGAGGCAGACTGTTACGCTGTCACCAGAGTGTTTCCCGTTGAGACTTAGATGTAACTCCAGTTAAGCATGAGATAGAGTTGCTTTCTGATCCCACTGAGGCACTCATGGTAACAATTTCTACCTGTAAGCTCTCCTGGAAACTGGATGCTTGGTACTGTGCGTATTTAGCGATGGTGGTGTGAGATCTGCTGCTTTCGCAGGGCCAGGTCTGGGCGGATCCTAAATGGTTCCAGTTCTCGTCTGCTGGCTGCTGCACCTGAGTCCTCACTTCCACCGCATGCTCTGAGTTGGCCTCAACCAGGGATTTAGTGGAGAACAGACCCAGATCTAACAGAAAGACAAGAATGTCACACTAAGCGGGAAACATTTGAAAGCCATCTTTTTCTCTACGTTTTTGACTTCCGTCCATACTGAGACAGCGTTTTTGTCCTGCGAAAACTGAGCTTTTTGAAAACGATGGCATGTTTAGTCATGTGATAGATATCTATGTTTATACTGGAATGTGCCTAATATATGGTATTCACTTTCATAGAGTTGTAAATGATAGGATATATGTTACTTTGCACTATTTTTGTTCATATTACATTCCAGCAGAGATCATGAACCTGCAACTGCTGCCTTGCAGCAAAACATGAGGACAATTGCATTTTAGACCATACATGGAATAATGGAGTGCGCACTAGACACACCAGTAAGTGATGGGATTTTTTGCTAATAAACTGACCATGGCAGAATAATAGCATGAAAACTGTATTTTATATCTCATATTTATATTGTATATTTTTTTATATTACTTTATATCTCACCAAGCTTTTACTACGTTTTACATGTGTGCAAAAAAATGATTTTAGTGTTTTCTGACATTTCAGTGTGGATGGGGAAACTTTTTAAATGTTTTCGTATTAATGAAGACATAATGTGTGTGTGTTTGTGATATTGTATTTTCTCACTGAGACGGAGGGATCCAGCCAGTCCTCTGATGACAGTAACAGCATTTTTAGGGCCTGTGCAGAACTGCAGTAGCACCGGAGAAAAGGCATCTCTTTTACTCTCTAGCTAAAAATATAAAAACATAAACAGAAAGTCAGAATAACAGACATCAAACAGTCAACTTAAATGGTTATTGTTTATCATTACAACAACAATAATAAAGACCTCTAATGTATCCATATAAACTAATGTCTGACAGAGAATATGATTAATAAATTACAGTACTTTATTAAACCTTAAGCCTTATGAACTGATTGGCCTCAACTCACATAAATGCTCGGTGTTGGAGGGTTGAGTTTCTCTCTGGGAATAGGAGTCTCGGTGGACAGGATAGGTTTCACTGAAAACGCTGGAAGCAGGTATGACTCCTGAAACTTGCTCTTGATGTTTGCCCCTCTGTCACAGAAACAAAAAGGGTGTATGTGTAAATGCAGAGAAAGAAAAAACTTGGTTCATATTCCCCATCAAAGTCATTATAATACTAAGTTTAGAGCATTAAACACTGTTATGATGCTAGGGTGCTGTGAATAGGTGCCAGGGTGGTGCCGTGTGGTTCCTAAGTGGCTCTTTTAGCACAATGGTATGCGTTACTAAGGTGTTCTGGGTGGTCGCTATTTGGTTGATTACTGGCCCAAGTTAAAAGAGTGCACCTCCAACATTCTGTTTTTAGATATGGATCAGGTGCCTTCAGTGTCAGTCCATGGAATTTAGCCTTTATCTTTATAGCCATTTAGCCTCAACAAGCATCGCTAATAACTATTAAGTACATCAGAATGAACTAAAGTCAGATGTGAACTTACTTGCAGGCTTGTATGACCTCAGCTGCACTATTTTTGATGTTGATGGCATTGAGTGGCATGGTCTTCTGCTCAATCTCTGATGCAATGCGAGTCTGCCGACCTCCACTCTCAACCCTGACCAAACAGATCCTCAGTTCTTTCAAGGGAATTTTAGACAACTCCTGCAGATTAAGGAGATTGACCCGGGCCAGCAGCGGAGGTCTGCTGGAGGGTGTCACAGTAACAGGGGTTTGTGTGTTGGCTGTGGCAGATGTAGATGATGCTGTGGCAGATGTATCAGCCTTTAGTGTGTCTTCTTTCATGGTCTCTTTTTTAATGTCTGTCTCTTTTTCTCTCTTGACTTCTTTAGATTCTGTTTCTCCATCTTTCAAGTAAATTTTTTGGTTTTCTGGGGCAACCTGTTTGTTCTTGATTTCCACCAAGTGCTCATTTAAACCTTCAGAAGATGAATCCTTTGTCTTAGTCTCATCCTTCACTTTTTTCTTTTTATTCTCTTCTCCATTACTCTTTTCGGGATCTTCTCCTTTTACTTTCCGACCAGCTTTTCTTGGAGACCTCACTTGATCTTTCTGTCTGGCCCTGTCTTGTTCTTTTTCTCTCTCAGTAGACGTGGACCCGCTGACTTTCATAGCCTTTGACAGAGGGCTGGAGTTTTGATTGAGCAGAAGCTCGCAGCTTTGTACTAGTTTATCCTGCAGAGTGGCGGGAGACATTACAGGTTCCTTCTCCTCCAGTGAAGTGCAGGTTGGGTCTTTAGCTGATTTAGCTACTTTGATCTCCATTTGTTCATCCATCTTCTGCACATCAGTTTTCTCCCTTTCTTCTTCTATTCCTTCCTCTTTTGCATTGGTTTCCATTCTTTCTTCCTCAGTTTCACTCTCTTTGTCCTTCTCTGCAGGCTGGATCAGTGGTGGTGTGACCTGATCTGGGATTTCTGTGATTGGAGATGTGGCAGGTGGACTGTGCTGGTCTAGAGGGTGGATCTCAGGACCCAAGGACAGAGATGATGAGTATTTCACCCCAACTAATGCACCAGGGGGTGGCCGTCCAAATGGCCCACCCCTGTAAGTGTATCTATGGCCGCCCATCGCTGAGGTCGCTGATTCGAATGTGTCCATTTGGTGCAAGTGTGGTTTGTTGGGCTCAGAGCTACTTGATGCATCAGGACTACTATATTTCTGCTCTCCTTCTCTATTTTCTTCATCTTCTTCCTCAGTGTCTATTGCTTTAGAGGACTCAGGAAGACCGTACAGTTTGGCCAGGTCACTGTGGCAATAATCGGCTCCAGTGTTGATCTCCACTGGATCTCTTAGTGGAGATGAGTGTGTTGGACTAGGTTGTAGCACTGGCCTCCTCAGTACTCTAATCATATCTCCCTCTTTCCCTTCCTCATGATCATCACCTAAGTCAGACACTGGAGAGCCCTGCCAGCTCAGAACAGGTGGGCTTGTTGGTGGGTCCAGCCTTAGGAGCTCCTCACTATAGGTGCAGTGAGCCGGGAGGAGGTCTGGGGCACTATGCAACCCTAAAACACCCTCTTTACTTCTGATGGTTTCTTCTTCACAACTCCTCTGCTTATCGGGAAGAGTAAGTTTGGACCTGCCAACATCGTGGGCTTCTACACTGTCATCATCGCTAGTGTCTACATGGTCAGGCTCAGAAGATTCTGATTGGTCGTCAGCCTCTAAGGCTTTAGTATTGGCTTCATGGGTTGACTGGCATGGAGAACAATGGTTATTACTGACAGGAGGGGATGTAGACGGTGGGATGAACCCTAAGGTATGTCGAGAGAACTCTTCCTCTCTGTGATTGAGATGAAGTGGCTCAAACAGTAGGTCATCCAGGAGAGGTTCAGAATCACTGGGATACAATGTTTCTAAATTGGGAGATGCTGATTTTGAAGGCGTCTCGCTCTTCCTGTCTTCATACATTCCTTTTTTCCTCTCCTCCTTTGCTCTTCTTGTTATCTGTCCCAACTGTCGGCCATTTTGGTGTATGTTCTTCTTATCATGCCCCTTTCTTCCATCCCTCATCTTTTTCTTTTTCCTGTCCTCCATTTTTTTCTCCATCTGTTCTCTTGTGTCTAACAGCTCTCCTTCCTTCTTTTTCTCCCTCCTTGAACGCTCCTTGTGCCTCCTCTTGGCCTGAATGTGTTTCAAGAGTTCAGTGTCCAGCTTGCTGAGGGAGCTTTTGTAAATGGATTTGAATCCAGTCTGGTGTTTAGAGTGGCTGCTCTTCTTCATTTCTGACTTCTGTGCCCTCTGACCTCTGTCTGAGGTTTGTGTGCCGGGTTCAGAAGGGGAGTCTGCACTACTGTATGACTGGATGGGACTCTGTTGGCGGCTAATATGTTTAGATGTGCTTGGCCGTTTTCTGTCCCTACCCACAGACTCTTGAGATTCCAGGCCAGAGGTGGTACGCCCCATCTCCTATAGAGAAACAAATGCCCGAACATTTCACAAGTTTATAGGCTACTAATACAAAAGAGCAGCTCGATATATGTGAATTGCTTTCTGAAATGTAATATTTGGCTTTCACTGATAATTTATATGGACTTGATATTTAATTGATAGCCTTGCAGAAGCCTTGATAGACTTTTGACTACTGATATTAAGTCTTGGAGCTTATTCTGGCCAAGAACGCCCACTTATACAGTCTGTGGGTGTGTTGTCTGAGGCTGAGACTAGTTCTTTGAACAATGGGCATTATATTGAAAGGAATAGTTGACCCAGAAATGAAAATTCTTTCTTCATTTACTCACACTACTGCCATGTTTTCCCGAGCGGCTCTGTGTTTTCCAGCCAGGCTGTGCTGTGTTGAATCTGGGCTGAGGTACTGAGGTGGCTGGGCTGCTGACGGGGCCGGTGTGCCTCTGTGGTGGAGGGAGCTGGTGCTGCTGACTGTAAGGCACACTGGTGAGGTTTGCTGGTGATGGGCAATCCCAGCCCCCTTTGGCCCCACGGGGATGGGGGCCTGGATGATCTCGGACCGGATGATTGGGTTGCCCCTGTTTGGTGGGTTTCTTGCTGTGGAGGCCCTGGCTTGGGGCACTGTTGGATGGTGATGGGATGGAATATGGTCTGTGATCTCTCATGACGTAATGACTGGACTCCTTTTAAAAAAGTGAAAGAAGGATGATCATGAGCAATACAAAGTATATAATTGTACATTACATACAGCGGGTAAAATACATTTTGAACACGTCACCATTTTTCCCAGTAAATATATTTCTAAAAGTGCTGTTGACATGAAATTTTCACCAGATGTCGGTAGCAACCCAAGTAATCCATACATACAAATAAAACAAAACAAAGAAGTTCAGAAATTAAGTTATGTGTAATAAAATGGAATGACACAGGGAAAAAGTATTGAACTACTGAAATGTATTTAATACTCCGTACAAAAGCCTTTGTTGGTAATGACAGCTTCAAGACGCCTCCTGTATGGAGAAACTAGTCGCATGCATTGCTCAGGTGAGTCTTCAAATCTTGAAAGTTCTGTGGGCCTCTTCTATGAATTCTGATCTTTGGCCCTTTTTTTCTATTGGATTCAAGTCAGGTGATTGGCTGGGCCATTCTAGCAGCTTTATTTTCTTTCTCTGAAACCAATTGAGAGTTTCCTTGGCTGGGTTTTGGATCATTTGTCTCGCTGAAATGTCCACCCTTGTTTCATCTTCATCATCCTGGTACTGTAGGTGTTGGGACTGAACCAACTAATATTAATTTCCACTAACTATAGGGGCAGAATTGCTTTCTAATTACTGATTGATTTTAGCTGGTGTCTTGGCTTTCCATACATTTTTGCACCTCCCTTTCATCATGTGTTCAATACTTTTTCCCTGTGTCATTCCATTTTATTACACATAAATTAATTTCTGAACTTATTTGTTTTGTTTTCTTTGTATATATGGATTACTTGGGTTGTTACCGACATCTGGTGAAAATTTCATGTCAACAGCACTTTTAGAAATATATTTACTGAGAAAAATGGTGACGTGTTCAATACTTATTTTACCCGCTGTATTTAAAGCAAAGTATGTGATTAGGCACAAGTATGGTAAGTATGTGATTATATATAGAAAATCAATTGCTCAAAAAATGCAGCTGAGACCACTGGTCTACCTGAAATCGAGAGGGGGAGGACCTCTTCTCAGACAGGCTCCAGTGCATTGAGCTTTTGTATGCTGGGCTCCATGGCCAAGGTGGATGTGATGGAGGTGGACGGTTGATGAAACATTTCTCTCTCAGGTGGAAATTCTGCAGAATTGATCAAGAGACATGCACTTAAGGATGTTCTCATTCTGACCAGCAGATGGTGCTTAAAGACTACTGCCTCTTTATAACCAAATCTTTTTCACTGACATATCACTTTGTAACCAAAAACGAACAGAAAAACATAAAAATTCAGAATTGTACATGTAAATAGTAGTTGTCTTTGCACATTCATTTTCAACAAAATGCTTGCTACGAAAATTTTGCTACAAAATTTTGCTAAGTGTACTGCATTAAGCTAACTGAGACTTGTTATAGCACTTGAATATCACTGCTCTTTTGTTGATTTTGATTGCTTCCATTGTCCTCATTTGTAAGTCGCTTTGGATAAAAGCGTCTGCTAAATGACTAAATGTAAATGTAACAAAGAAAGGCACATGACTGACCTGATGTGAACTGATGCTCCTGCTTCTCTTGCTGGGACAGTCATCTCGTGAAGGGGATGGATCCCGGTGAGGTGGTGACATATTGTGAGGAGGTGCTGGACGTTTGAGAGAGGGCCCTTGGAATGTCCTGGACTGAGTTGACTGTGTCCATTTGTCTCCCTGGGTCTGTGGGGGACGCCCAGTGGAACGCTGCTGCTGATGTGGACCCCCATACTGAAACAGGAAATAACATCAAGTCATTCAGGATATTAAGAGTTCTTTTGTGTTTAGCTCATCTTTGATAGCACTGTATCTCTAGAAATTTGGATGGCCTCACCCTGTGTGGCTGGCTGCTGTGATTGTTGCTGCTAGAGAGGTGTCCTCCACACCCTGAGCTGTAGTTTAGGGTGGGGCGCACTGGATTATGGTGCTGGCTCTGTGTTGGTCCGCAGCCCCTCGGGACCCTTTGCTCTTTTCCAATGCCTCTGTCTCTGGGGTGTGTGTGGGGCCTGTCCCTGCTGAAACCTGGCGGTCTGTTTGTAAATAAAGAGGAATACTATCCATGAATGTTACACAGCAGTGTTAACGTGGCAAATTTGCATATTATCTGTAACATATAGCATGCAATATTGTGCATGTCAAATCACAGTACATTGAAAACGTACATTACAACACCTGGATGGCATGTTAGTAACATACAAGCAACATAAATAGTAACATTAGTAGAGTTATAAAAAGTGGTATAAAAACACTAATATATAAATTTTTTTGACAAATTATTATTTATATAATATATAAATGTATAAAATACAATAGTTATAAGTAGTATATACTGTATTTATGTTATAAATATTAAATAATATTACATTCAAACTGTAAAATAAATTTTTTTTTAAACATTTTTATTGTAAAATATAACATGAAAATAAAAATATACAAAATATAAAAAAACATTAAAAACATATATAGAATATAAAAATATAAAAACGTACATAGTAATAATACATTGATTCACTAAGTTATAATGTACGTGCCAAAAATACACATCATACAAGTGTACTAGTGGTGCAGTTGTGATAAAGCAGTGTGTAGGATGCAAATTGGGATTTCAGTACTATTAGAGCAGAAAAGAACGACTGACCTGTTGTTATAAGCTTTATTTGGGTAGCTTCTTCCTGCTGTGTAGTTTTGGGATGGGAATTGATAGTTCCCTCCACTGCACCTGAAAACAGAAGAACTGATGATTTAACAACTGTAAGATATACACAATAAAACAGCGTTCAATTAACGGATGCTACATTTCTAAATGTGTGTGGAGGAAGGATGACCTGGATGGAGGGGCCCAGTGCCGGTTGCTGCCTGGGGTCCATGGTGCTCGAGTCGGCCCAGAAGTTGGGAAGGAATCCCACGAGTTGCGTCCAGAATACTGCTCTGCTATGTGATACATTCAGCCTGTGGCGAGACAAACACACACACATACAAAAGCAATTACTGTAGCTGTTCACTCGTGATGTATCTTGTTCTGGAGAGAAGAAAGCGTCCTGTGAATACTCACCGCACTGATGAGTCTGAGAATCCCTCCACTGCAGATCTCAACAGAGATCACTACACTTTCCCTCGCTTTCAATTTGAGCTTTTCTGAATAAAAGAAAGAGAGAAAAGAAATAACAAGAATGAATAAAGCATTCTTTCATATCACATGATAAGAGTAATGCCTTGCTTTGTGATATTTTTAGAACATTAGTAGTGTGGATTGTCCTTCAAGGTAAATCTATGGGATTTCCCATCCATTGTAATTGTCCAACAGGTATCATTCAAGTCCCTATCAAACAATGCAGGACAAGTTACTGGTTTAATTACAATACTTAGTGTTAGGGATCTGATAAACTTATAGTCTAAGCAATAGCAATAGTCATTGCACAGGAAGTTAGACACATTAAGATAGATGGAAATCAAGTGAGGGAGGGGACAGCAGAAAGGAAATCTTCAGGATGTGCTCTTGTGATGGTCAATATCAGTTTCCTGAGAGAAAAGACAACATGGCTCCATGGTAGCCACAAGTATGCTAACTCTGTAGCATATTTGTGGCTACAATGCATAATGTGCTGCATAACACAATACAATGTCCTTAACTGTCAAAGAAATAAATCTCATTGTGATCTTCACGTCGCCCACACACCTTTGAAGATTTTCTAGCACCTGACTGACGCTTCCTCTAGATTTGACTGAGGCAACAGATCAAACGTGCAACGCTGGAACAAGTTCAACGCGAAGCATCTGCAGCAATCCACAGGCTCCTGTTCGTCTTATCTCTGCCCCCCACTCTCCACCCCACCCACACCAACTGTCCTTTATCATAGGAAGAAGCGTAACAAGTGTGCGAGTGTGTGTGAGGTTAAAGGAGGCCATTTGTGCTCTTTTTGGTCCATGAATAGCTCAGCTCTCATACTGTAAAACTCCAGTTGTGCATTCTGGTTCAGATCAGGACAGAGCAACTGCAGGCTCTTTGTGTTTGTTAAAGACTATTTCACCTCTTATCTTCATCTCATAATAGCGCATTTATCACATACTCAGTTGAACACACGCGCTTGAACTTTGACACATTTGCTAGATGTACAGGTATAACACATGGTAAGCATTTGTATGTTTCCTTCCACTCTCTCTCTCTGTCACACACACACACACACACACACACACACACACACACACACACACACACACACACACACACAGTCATAGCCCAGCTATTATGTTGAGAGCTTTTGTTTCTCATAAACAGCAAAGAGATTAAATGGAGAACACATGGAGACTTGCCTAGAAATGTCACATGCACCTTCTCTAGAATTTCAGAAGAGATCTGAACAATAGGCATGTTTTAATCCATATATTTTAATGCACATTTTCCAATATTGCCTAAAAAATGCTAAAAAACAAAAAGTGCAAAAAACATGTACGCTCACTTGAGCTTGTTCTTTTCAAGAAAAGATTCGCTCAAACTACAATGGAAACACATTTACTGAATACATTCCTAGATGTCGTGAAAGTCATGGGATTGAATAATTCATATATATGCTTCATTAAGATTTTTTGCTTGAAGCTGATTAAAGTCAAATTTTCCCTCTGATGTATGTGTTGTATGCTGGACTTCTCCAATCATTTAGTCCACTTAAACCCCACCCCTTTCTTACAATCGACATTCCATTCAGATCTGGTTTCATCCAATCAACAAGCAATGAACGAAACCAAACCAAGAAAAGATCTGTCGCTACTTCCGTTCATCATGACTTTAAAGGAATAGTTCACCCAAAAATGAAAATTACCCCATGATTTACTCACCTTCAAGCCAACATAGATGTATATGACTTTCTTCTTTCAGA